TAATTTATAAAAATATATAATAATGATAACAAAATATATATATAAATTAAACATTAATATATATTTATTTAAAATATGATAAATATTAATATATTAATATATTAATATATTAATATTTTAATAATAATATATTTATATATTAATTAATTAAAATATTTATAAAATTTTTTTAAATATAAATTTATCAAACTAAATATATATTATTATTTAATTTATAAATATACTTATACATGTTATTTATTAATATATTATTATTTAATTTTATCAATATATATATATATATTTTTTTTTTTTTATATATTATATTTTTATTTTTTCTCAATTTTTATTATATATGTTTTTTTTAATTTAATTATATTATAAATTTTTTAAAAATATAGTAAATTTAATTTTATTGTTATAAAAAATTTCCTATACTAAAATACAAATAATAAATATTATTTATTAATTTTATTTAAATATTTGATAATAAATATTTTTTTTTTTTTTATTTTAATATTTAAATAATAAAAATTATCTACATTTATCTAACTACTTTTTTGAAAATGTTAATGATTTATTTAAAACTCAATAAATCATACAAATTTTTAATTTTATTTCTTAATTTATTTTTATTAACATACACCTAAATTTAAACGACTTTAAAATCCTGTTTATTCAATTCTTTTTCTTAATCTGATGCTATAAATTGTGGTTTTAACATGTCTGGTTAAAATGGAAGTTGGACTTCTGTATGTAGTTCTTATTCTCTTTTAGGAGGATATAATGTTTGCTCTTAATAATGTTCAATAACTATAAGAGCTACATCAGCTAAACCTGTATATAGTTATCAAATTAAATTTTCATATATATTGATTGATTCATGGGATAATGAGATATTTCTTGTTTATGTAAATGGATCTATTGCATAGTCTTTTAGTAAAAATATTGATAATGTACATTCATCTAGTATATGTGGCGCAAGTTAATGGGGTGAAATTATATAATCTACGACAATTAAATTTGATACTACAGATTCAACAATTAATATATAATTTTCTAGTAACTTGGATGAAAGCCCTGATAATGAATCTTTTGGTATAAGAGAATTTTCAATTGTGGCTTGGGAATGTATACCTTCATGTGCTGGATGCATTAACGCTAGTTCTTGTACTTCTTGTATTATAGGCTACTATTTAACTAGTGGATTGTGTAATAATTGTATTACAGGATGCGAATAATGTACTAATGGAAATTCTTGTAGTTTATGCTAAATTGGATATTATTATAATGATTCTTAATGCATTAATTCATGTCCAGGGGGTAAATATGCAAACTCTTTAACTAGAACTTGTGATAAATGTAACAGTAAATGTTAAACTTGTTCTAATGCATCAAATTGTGATACTTGTTATTATAACAGAGTTCCTGTTGATTGTAATTGCCCTGTTTATAATTATGATAACATGAATTATATATATCCTTGTTTTTCATGTTCTATTATATCTATTGGGTGTTCTACTTGTACTGCTACTAAATGTTTAGCGTGTCTATCGCCTTATTTTTTAACTGAAAATTCATGTGTGAAATCTTGTCCTGATGGTACTTGGGGAGATACTTCAAATAATACTTGTAAACCATGTATGAATAAATGTAGAACTTGTTCTAACGGAACTACTTGTGATACTTGTTACTAAAATAGACTTCCTTAATAATGTCTTTGTCCTTAATATACTTATGATACAAATGATTTCACGTAAGCCTGTTTATTATGTTCAGGTTATTCTACTCATTGTGCCATTTGTGATAGTACTAAATGTATTACGTGCAAAAACGGATATTTCTATTAAAATAATGTTTGTGTATAGAAATGTTCTGATAGTACTTGGGGAGATACTTCAAATAATACTTGTAAACCATGTATGACTAGATGTAGAACTTGTTCTAATGGAACTACTTGTGATACTTGTTACTAAAATAGACTTCCTTAATAATGTCTTTGTCCTTAATATTCTTATGATCCTAATGTTTTTTAATAAGCGTGTACTATGTGTTCTATTTTTTCAACTGGATGTGCTACATGCAGTTAAAACGATTGCCTTACATGTATAAGTCCTTAATATTTTTTATTAAATTCGAATAAAAAATGCTATTCTTGTTAAAGTATAATAACTAAAATAATTTTTAGTGATGATTTCTTGACTTTAAGTATTGTTTTTGATAATTTACAAATTCTATTTTTTCCCTCTAATTCAGATTTATAAAGCGATTCTTCTTAATTATAATTTACTAATTTACTTTGTATAGAAACGTTTGATAAAGATTTCATTACTTCTAAATTATAAGGAAATATATTGTGTTCTTTTAACAAAACTTAGAAAAAATTTACAATTAAACTTGATTCTTTAAGTACTATTAATAAAGATGATATAATAAAAATAAATCCTAATATATTCAAACTAGTAAATAATGGATTTGTTTGTACTGATTTTGTTTAATAAATAACTGGAAAAGTAATTTATGGCACAAAACCAGTTAGTGCAGATATAGAATTAACCTAAACAAGTCCTATTTCGAGATGTTAAGAAGCATAAATAATAATATCAGGTATTTATAATTGTGGAAACAGATATTTAAAATAAATTACTTGGGCTCTCGTTTCTTCTGATGTAAATACGGCAAGTGAAATAACCTAATTAAACTCTTAAATATAATAATATAATAATCAAATATTTTTGAAAATACCATCTTTAAAATTGAAAACATAAGGATAATACTTATTCAAAGTAGATGTAGTTTCCTAATTTAACTAAGCAGTAACATAAAATGTAATTATATAAACTTTATCAGATATATCGATAGATATAAGAGTAAAAACAGATCCAAACTAAATTTATAGAAGTAATTTAGTAAATATTAATGCTTAATTTAATCGTTTATAATGTGGAGATGATGGAAAAATATCTTATCAATAAACAGATACTTTTCAAGTATAAATAAAATAATATGATAATTTAAATGAATAATTAAACATTGATTCCACATAAGAAATTTAAGGAAATTAATTTTAATTTTAAATTTAACCCTTTATTATGAAAATGAGTACAATATATAATATATAAATTGCAGTTTCTTTAAAATCCGATCCAACTATTACTCAATAAATATTATTCCCAGTACATGTTCTTTCTAATCCTCCTTTAGTTTAAATTTTAGGAGGAAATAAATAATAATAATTTACTTAAAGTTTTAATCTTTAAGGAAATGTAGATGATCCAAATTTATCCTCTAATGAAAAAACTCCATTATAAGCAACTAATTATGGAATAAATTTAAAATGGTAATGTATAATTGTAAATACTGGAGATGATTGTAAAGATTCATCTAATAATTTAATTGTTTCTGCAACTACATAAAACTTATAAATTACTATTTAAAAGAATAGTTTATAACCTTATTAATAATATCAGTTTAAATTATCAGGAACGAAAGCTGGATTAACTGTTTTTGATTAAATAACAATATTAATGGTAGATTATACGATTCCTCCTGTTTAATCTACTATTTCTATAACTAATACTTAAAATACAA